CCCTCCAGACTTGGAAACAGCATAAAAGTCTATAGCATAAGCAATCGCAAGGAAGAAACTACGGTCTAAGTTATTTCAAAGAGAAAAGAAAAATAAAAACTAAGTACCCATTATGGAGATGATAAAGTTTAATTTGAAAAGCAAACAAGAAATCTTTGTGACTTTGGGATAAAGATTGCATAGACATGACACAAAAAGCATGAATCATCAAAATGAACATTGATAAATTGGACCTTTCTTAAAAACTATTAAGTAACCTAGATGAATGGAAGATAACGTTTGCAACACACATAGTAAACAAAGGATTTATATCTAGAAAATATAAAGAACTCATAAAACTTAATAATAGGAACACAAACAATCCAACAAAAAAATGGGCAAAGATTTTGAACAGATACTTCATAAAAGAAGATACATACATGTCCAATAAGCACATACAAAGATGCATAACATTATCACCCATCAGAGAAATGCAAATCAAACCACAATGAGATACCACTTCACACCCACTATGATGGCTACAATAGAAATGACAGACAATAACAAGTGTTGACAAGGATGTGGCAAAATTGTAACCCTCAAAATGGCTAGTGGGGAATGTAAAATGGTGTAACCACACAAGTAAACAGTTTGTCAGTTTCTTAAAATTTTAAACATAGATTTACCATATGACCAGTAATTCCACTCCTAGGTATCTACCCAGGAGGAATGAAAACACATCCACACAAAAACTAGGGTGCAAATGTTCACAGTAGCATTTTTCATAATGGTCAAAATGTAGAAACAAATCAAATATCCATCAACTGGTGAAGAGATAAACAAAACATGGTATATCCTGACACTGGAATTCTTTTTTTTTTTTTTTTGAGACAGTCTCACTCTGTCACCCAGGCTGGAATGCAGTGGCACAATCTGGGCTCTCTGCAACCTCTGCCTGCCAGGTTAGGTGACTCTCATGCCTCAGCCTCCTAAGTAGCTAGAATTACAGGCATGTGCCACCACTCCTGGCTAATTTTTGTATTTTTAGTATAGACAGGGTTTCACCATGTTGGCCAAGCTGGTCTTGATCTAAGTTATCCTGACTTCAGGTGATCCACCTGCCTTGGCCTCCCAAAGTGCTGGGATTACAGGCATGAGCCATTGCACTAGGCCTGACACTGGAATTCTATCTATTGTGTAATAAAAAGGAACAAAGTACCAATACATGCTGTAACATGGATGAACCTCAAAAACATCCTGGGTGAAAGAAGCCGAAGATAAAAGACCACATATTGTATGAGTCCATCTTTACAAAAATGTCCAGAAAAGGCAAATCTAAAGAACAGAGTAGATTCATGGTTCCCTAGGGATGAAGCAGAATTGGGAAATAACTGCAAATGAATACAGTTTCTTCTGGAAGGGAACTGTTCTAAAATAAGACTGTGGTGATAGTTACACAACTCTGCAAATATGCTACCAACCATTAAGTCCTACACTGAAAACAGGTGAATTTTACGGTATGTAAATTATACCTCAATAAAGATTTACAAAAAGAGAGATATGCAACATCATTAGACATCACTGAAATGCAAATTAAAATCACAAATATCACTGCACACCTACTAGAATGGTAAAAATGTAAAAGACTGACAAGCATTGCAAGGATATGAAACAAGTAGAACTCTCATTTTACGTTCCCACCAACAGTTGGTAAGAATGTAAAAGGGTGCAGTGCATTTGAATATTATCCCCCAAAAAGGTATGTCCAAATCCAGAAACCCGGCAAGTGTGAATGTAACCTTATTTGGAAAAAGTGTCCTTGCAAATGTAATTAAGTTGAGGCTCTTAAGGACCTCAAGATCATCCTGGATTTAGGATGGGTCCTAATCCAATAACTGGCATACTTTTAAGAGAAAGGAGAGAGAGATTTGAGACACAGAAACAGAGAGAAGAAGGCCATGTGAAGATGGAAGCGGAGAAGTTATGAAGTGATGCTACCACAAGCCAAGGAACACCAGGGACCACTAGAAGCTGGAAGAGGCAAGGAAGGAGTTTCCCCTAGACTCCTTCAAAGGGAGTATGGCCCTGTTGACACCTTGATTTCAATGCCTCATCTCCAGGACTGAAAGAGAATAAATTTCTGTTGTTTTAAGCCACCAAGTTTGTAGTAACTTGTTGCAGCAGCCATAGGAAACTAAAACAAATGGCCAAATCACTTTGGAAAACTGACAATTTCTTCATAAGGTTAAACAAAGAACTCCCCTATAACTAAGCAAATCTACTCCTGGGCATTACCCGACAGAAATGCAAACTGAAAGACTCTTACGTGAATGGTCATAGCAGCTTTTTTTGACAGAAATGAAAATGGAAAGACTCATACACGAATGGTCAAAGCAGCTTTTTTCATAAGGGTCCAAAACCAGAAACAATCCTAAGGTCCAGCAACAAGTGAATGAATGAACAACATGTGGTATCTCCATACAGTGGGCCACTAATCTGCAACAAAAAGGAACAAACTATTGATACATACAACACCATGGATTAATCTCAGAATCATTATGCTGACCAGGCACAGTGGCTCACGCCTATAATCCCAACACTTTGGGTAGCAGAGGCAGGAGGATGGCTTCAGCCCAGCAGTTCCAGACCAGCTTGGGCAACATAGCAAGACACCATCTCTATTAAAAAAAAACAAAAATCATTACGCTGAATGAAAAAAAAGACCCAAAATTATACACTGTATGCTTCCACTTATATGAAATCTAGAAAATACAGATGCATCTACAGAGACAAAAAACGTATCAGTGGTTGCTTGGGGGCCGAGGTGGAGGGAGGGAACTGAGAAGGAGAGAAATGTTCGCTATTCCCATTGTCGTGGTTTTGCAGGTATATACATTTGTCAAAAGGCATCAAATTGTACACAGAAATGGTTGCAAATGACTGTATGTAAATTATACCTCAATAAAATTGATTAGAAAAAGAGAAAATAATTCATGAGCCATTGGACATTTTACATTTAAGATTTAAAACAACTACTTATACTTTGTTCTAACCAATAATATTAAGCAAACAAATTTTAAATGAAGAGCAAATTTGTTAAAGAAAAAAGGAAGACAACTTGCTCTACTAATTCAACATGTTTCACAAGCAGAAAATGGAAAAAGCCTTGAATTTGGAGTCAGAAGACCTGCCTCAGAGCGCTAGTTCCACTTAGCAACCAAGTGGCCTTGATCAAGTCACGATTTACCTGCAAGTCTCAATTTCTACATCTCTAAAATATAGATGACACTAATAACTACCTCACAGGCAACAGTTATGGTTTCAATAGAGTAAGAGCTCCTTTCATGCAGGGATTCTATTTTAGCCAAAATTATACTCCCAACGTATGGCAAATAATAGGTGCTCAATAAATCTTCACAGAATAAATGAATTACTTGAAAAATAAACCTGAAACATGAGAAAGACATCGTGCACAACACCATGAGGCAACATTTGTTTCTTTGCAACATTTGTTTCTTTGTAGACTAAAGCAGAAGAGTCACCCTCTTTGTGCTTATCTTTAGTATATTATCCACATCATTTGCAGACTCAAGCATGAAAACTTCCAGTCCCTTATGAAATACTGCGATAACTCAAGTCAATATAGAGCAGATTTTAAATTTTAAATCCTTAGGTGCACTGCCCTAAAACAGACTCACTTGTAAGATGAAATTCTACGAAAGCAAGAACTGTGTCTATGTTATTTAACACTGATATTCACTGCCAATATTTGCCTAACATATAGTAGGCAGCAAATAACGTGTGCAAAGGCCCTGAAGCCAGATGAAGTACAGGGAAGAGTGACTTTTAAGAGGCCAAAGTGACTGGGAGGCAGACAGCAGAGTGTCATGTCCAATGGGGTTGTGAAAGCAGGTAGGGTCCACACCACGCAGGATCTTGCAGGCAATGTGAAGTTTTGTCTTTATCCTAAGAGCAACAGAAAACCATGGAATATTTTTAAACAGGTGGTTGGCAGAGTAAGGAGAAAGGAAAGGGACATAATTAGATTTGCATTTCATGAAGATCTTACTCTATGGTGTGCAGAAGAGAATGGTAGTTGGGGGAAGGGAGAGAAGGTGGAAGAAGAGTTAAGTTAGGGTGTAGAGTGAGTATAGGCCAATCAAGAGGCTATTCCAACAGTCCATTAAAAAGATAATGGTAGCTTGGTCCAAGGTAGTGGAGGTGGGAGAAAAAAGTGGACGGATTCCCAATACACGTACACAAATCAACAGGATCTGACTTTGAGAATGAGAGAAAGGAAAACACTCAATGCTTCTGAGTCTCAGTTCTTCATCTGTGAAGCAGGGCTGTTGTTTATACTCCATCTGTATAATACCTATCTTGTAATCTGCTGTGACAATGATATGAAAAAATTTAAATATTATGCACCTAACTCAGTGCCTGACCCACAGTAAATGCTTTTTAAAATCGCTGTTGCCATTATTATGGTCATCCCATGGAATGGCAACTACCGGAAACTGAACACCAAAGGTAGAGAGGAGCAATGTAGTTAAAGATTCATATCCACAGCGCGCTGAAAGACACAAACTGTTATCAGCCGGTCACTGAGACAATTGTTCCAAAGAAACACAGCTGATCGCACAGATATTTCATCTAAGACGATCTCAGTCCTCAGAGACCATTATGAGAAAGCACAGCTGGTATGATCACAGTCACCTGAGAATCCGGTAAACTGAGGCACAGAGATGGCTACAAATTTAACCAAGGAATAGGTGCAGAGGAAGGACAAGGAAATGGGTATCCTGCTTCTCATTTTTGAGCCGATCCAACAAGACTTGGCCTGCATCCTGAAGAAGAATTTGTAACACCCCCTCCAATGTCTCCAGGTCCCTTGCTGACAAGGCCCTGTCATCCCTTAGCCTAACACTGTGCATCCGCTCGCCATCAAACCAAGCCCTTCCGGTTCCCTGATACTAGCTCACAGCGCACGAAGATCCCCAAGCCCCGGGAGCCCCACATACCTTAGCTTCGCGCTCTCGTTCCTCGGCGGTCGGGGTGCGCTTCATGCTGCCACTAAAGCCGCCTTCGCCACCGCAAGCTGCGTAGATCCCCTCGCCCTGGACCCCGCCTCCTGCATGTAGTTCTCTCAGCGTCCTGCTCCCGTCCGGGGCCATTCGCCCTCAGAGTGGAGAAAACTACAACTCCCAGAATGCACCGCGGCGACGCCCGCGAGTGCCTCGGGATTTAGAACAGGAGAATTTCCCAGGTCCGACTGCTGGAAGAGCGTAGTCCTCTACACCGCGAGCAAACAGGCTGGAGTCCAAGGAGAACTACATTTCCCAGGAGGCAACGGGTGCCTACCATGTTTCTCCCGTGCTCCTCTCGGCCAGCCGCCCGCCACGCTGTCGGCGCTATAGCAACGGTAGCTAGCTGCAGGGCCAGTGGAGCGGTGAGTACTCGGGAGGATGCGAGAGCATGGGGGTGGGTGGAGGTTGCGGACCCTCCCCACTGCAGCGCGGGCCAGGGTCCTAGGGTCCGCTCTGCGGTCTGGAGAAGGCCCTGGAGTTCTGCTTGCGTGAAAGCAGCCCAGCCCGAGACACCTCCACATCCTCAGGCCTGAATCACAGCCCGCCCTTTATCCTCACATCCAGGACCAACCTGAAATGTATCCCAGCCATGAAGGTGAGAGTTGATGCTGCTAATTGCCATCTCTATCCAGATCCTGCAAGTTGTAGGTCCCTAACACAGTTTGCTCATTTTCCCTGGATTAGGAATTGGTTGGTTGACCCTAAAACTCCTGAGTGTTCTATTGTTTGCTTAATTATATATTATTTGTTTATCATCTGATTACCTCCATAACTTGCTAGCTTCATAAAGGTGGGGATTTTGCTTGCCATTTTAATCTCAGTGCCTGGTATTCATTTATTCATTCAAATAAATATTTTTTCTTTATTCTTGTGTGTGTGTGTGTGTGTGTGACAGGTTCTTGCTCTGTCGCCCAGGCTGGAGTGGAGTGGTAAGACCTCAGCTTACTGCAACCTCCTCCTCCCGGGTTCAAGCGATTCTCCTGCCTCAGCCTCCCGAGTAGCTGGGATTACAGGCGTGCGCCACCACACCCAGCTAATTTTTGTATTTTTAGTACAGACGGAGTTTCACCATGTTGGCCAGGCTGGTCTCGAACTCCTGAGCTTAAGTCATCCACCCGTCTCGGCCTCGCAAAGTGCTGGGATTACAGGTGTGAGCCACCGCGCCCAGCCAATCATTCAATATATATTAATGTTGGTTCCTACCCTGTACCAGGCACTGTTCCTGAACAGCTGTGAACAAGACTAATACCCGTCTCAAGATGTTTATCCCTTTTTCATGGAGACAAACAATAATTTATTTGATAATTTCAGATAGAGACTGTTGCTATAAGAGAAACAAGCCAGGCGTGGTGGCACGCACCTGTAGCTCCAGCTACTTGGGAGGGTGAGGTGGGAGGATCACTTGAACCCATGAATGCCAGGCCAGCCCAGACAACAGAGCAAAACCGTGTCTCAAAAAAAAGAAGAAAAGAAAAGAAATAAACAGTGAAGAAATGTAAGGAAGATTACTCTAACATAGGATGGTCAGGGAAAGCCTGTCTGAGGAAGTGAGCTGAACTCCAAAGACTGAGGAGCCAGCTAATACAAAGGCCTTGAGTACACAAGGGTGTGGGGGGTTCGAGGAAAGTAAAGAATAATGTAGGTGAAGCATACTGAGCAAAGAAGGATAACATGAGATGGTGTTGGAGAGGCATTGCAGCGTTGTGCAGGATTACTCAGCTTCCACACTATTATTAACATTTTGGGCTGGATAATTCATTATTATGTCTCCTAAGCACTGTAAGATATTTAACATCATCCCTGGCCTCTACTCACTAGATACCAGTAGCATCCCCCTTCCTTGTTGTGACAACCAAAAATATCACCAGACACAACTATTAATACTTCCAACTACTACCTTAGTTAACTAATCTGTGTCTCAGCTTCCTCATTTGTAAAGCGGTAATCATTTGAGTAACAACCTCACAAGGATATGGCGAGACACTTCATTAATTCCTATAACAGAGCACTTAGAACAGTACCTGGCACATAATAAGCATTCAATGAATGTTAACACCATCAACATCATCATCATCATTATCATCATTCTCATTATTTTTAAAGTGACCTTAATTCTGTCATGGAAAACTAATCATTTTTGTACATGGGCCTGTGTGTCAACAGGATCCTAAAAATTGACCTTTTCTATAGCAGTACTTCCAAAAGAAGTAGATGATCTCCCAAGGATTTGTCTGTTAGCTGTTTCTGTAACAGCAAAATGCAATGGTTCTCCACCATTTGTGAGTTATAATAAAAGTTATGAACCCTCCTTAAAAGATATTATATATATACGTATACATACAAAATTTGGTAAACCATCTCTGGGTTCACAGACCCTGAAACCCCACGGACTCCATTCACTCACTCAACAACTATTTAATGAATGCCTGCTCTCAGAATGCACTAAGCTTTATGCTAGCATCAAAGAGTACAGAGGTGAAGAAGACAATGAAACTTGCTACTCTCTTGGTCTTTACATTCTAGAACCAATATCCTAGAGCTTAAGAACTCTGCCCTTTAGAGTATCTTCATTCACAGTTTGCATTTAGCTTACTAGGTAGATTGAAATGAAAATATAAAATCCTTTATTTTTGCATACTAGATACTGTGTGGACCACTCATATCCACATTCAAAATAAAGCTACTGTGTGCATTTCTGTAAAGGATAGAAACTATAAAAATACCAGAATTAGCTAGACAGCCTATATGTTGAAGTAGTTGAACTCTGGGCGGAACCTAAGCCTCATGGCAACAAAGGCAAGACACACACACACAAAAAAACCTAAACCAGTTGGTAAATTTATGCAACGAAACCTCTTTCACAAAACTTGGAACTGCCCACTCATTTGTGCATCAAGCAGACAATTAATATTTGAGTAATATTGACATCCCAGGCACATGTGATCAGTGCTTTTACTTTACTCATCCCATTTACCCTTAGAGTAACTCTGAGATAGGTATTATTTTCTCCTTTTTAAAGCTGAGAGACTGAAACTCAGAGAGTTTAGGTGGCTTGACTAGTTCGTTAATGATAGAGCAACCATTTGAATCAAGTTCCTGACCTGAGTTTTTTCCAAGATACCTGCTCTCTTTTGGAGGCTGGGGAGAGGAAAGGGATGGAGAGGAGGTATTTCTTAAATGATAATCTTACCTCATTTCCTAAGCAAACTGTAGGAAATATACTGTTGAAAGGAACACTGTCTCCATGATTGAATGTAGTAGTACTTTTAGAGTAGAAGCTTTCATCTTCTCCAAGCAGCACATATGGACAATAAGATGCCCATTAAAGTTCTAGTCCCTTTTTCATTTTATTTGATTCATTCCATTGCATAGTTAATGTAATAACTTGGAAAGAGTTTATTTGAATTTTCTTTTTTCCACAGCTAGGCCATGTCTGGTCCAACTGATGAGACTGCAGGAGACTTGCCTGTGAAAGATACAGGTCTAAACCTCTTTGGAATGGGAGGGTTACAAGGTATGGCCAGCTGTTATTTATTACAGTTATGAACTTTGATCACTGACTTCTTTACTTTTAATTTAAAGTATTTCTGATACTCATACAACCCAAACCATTTAAGTAACTATATAGTCCTTGATTGTACTAAACAAAAAGATGGAGAGTTTAGAACACATATGGTATTTTACTACATGCGTCAATTATCAACAGCTCATAGAAAATGTACAATCCCCCCTCTGTTCTGATAAAAAATTAACATAAATCATCTTTTTAAAATTCCTTACATCAGTAGAAACTACATAGAGAGTATCAAGCCTCCAAACCGAATTGCCTGGTTTAAATTATATTCAGTATTAAAACATTTCTTTGTGTTTAAATTTTATATGGGAGGAAAGGCCATATTTTAAGTGTTTTGCCTTTGAAGTAGAATATCTCACATGATAGTGACTTTTTTATCAAATTAATATGGATTAAAGGTTTTCTTTATCCTTTTATCACTTAGTAGTTGCTGTAGAGCTAAAAAGCACTTTCAAATTGAGAAAGAAAAGCACCACATTAAAGAACAATTTAGAACAGAGAGCTGTGTTTATCTTTGTTTGTTCATTGTGTCAGCTATGCTGTCATGCATGTATCAATTATCAACAGCTCATAGAAAATGTGAAATCCCCCTCTAGCCTGAGAAGGCTAGGGATTTAAGATACATTCCATTTAGGAATCTACATACACTTTTTAATCAGAGCAGTGTAAATGGCCACTGTGAAAACCAGAAAAGTGGTCAATGTATTGTTTATTGAAAAAGATAAAATTTGGCTACACAGAATTTTTTTTTTTTTTTTTTTGAGATGAAGTCTCACTCTGTCACCCAAGCTGGAGTGCAGTGGCAGGATCTCCACTCATTGCAACCTCCGACTCCCAGGTTTAAGCGATTCTCCTGCCTCAGCCCGCTGTGTAGCTGGGTTTACAGGCATGCGCCACCACGCCCAGCTAATTTTTGGCTACACATATTTTATTGTTAAAAGTAAAAAGTATGTGTAAGCTTTGCTTTGCAGATCTTTCAGGGAGCACCAGGTATTAAAATACAAATAAATTTTAAGTGTGCAAAGCAGTTTATTGGGTTTTGATACTCTGTGAGTTCAATTCTTGTCCTCAGTAACCTATCACAGGACCTTAGTCTCTATCAGTTTGTTCTTTGTTTCTCTTGGAGAATTGTTGGAAATCGACCTACTTCACAATGTTATGGAAAATACCAAATTTAAGCGTCTGTAAAAAGATATCATATATGCACGCTAAAGAGTATAAACATTCTTAAAATTTATATAAGGTAGTATATAGAGAAATTATTTGTGAAGCTTTTAAATAATAATTTTTAAATTTAGGGGTTTTTTGATTTGATCTTACAACTTTTATAGTTTGTTTTCTAAAACACCCATAGTGCAGAAAAATATCTTAGTCATAATATGTTTACCAAATTACTCTTACTCTTGCCTTTGTAAAAAAATAACTTTCAGATACTCTCTTAGTTGTCACAACATTCAGCATGTAAATTCAAAAGTCTTTATTGAATCAGAATTCCGTCTTATATTCTTAAAGAATGGCTACTTGAATACATTTTTGAATGGATACTATTGTTGTTCAAATTCCTAGTACTGTATGTAAAGTATTAATAGCAAAGATTTTTACTCTTACCTTAAATAATTGATGTAAAC